TTTTAATACATACTCTCAAATTTTCTTCATTCTAAAACTACTTCTTACAAAAAAATAAGGTTAAATATTTTTATATTTCCTGATTTTCAATTTGTTACCTATCTTCAAATCAACAATTAACTAATTGATTTACCATGCATTATAGACTATAGAAGTAAAGGGAAAGTGTGAACATTTACAAAGTCAATTAAAAGAGAAATCTAAGTGGAAAATATTTTGAGTCCTGTGTTTTAAGTTATTACTCTGGAGAATGAGTATTTAACTCTTTTCAACTTCTTTCTTCTATCACATTTAGTCCACTTCAGGTCCCACCTACCTCCCAAGATATCTATATGACAATTTGATTAGACTAGTAATCAGGATCTTCCTTTCCTTTTCTTTTCTTTTCTCTTTTCTTTCCTTCCTTCCTTCCTTCCTTCCTTCCTTCCTTCCTTCCTTCCTTCCTTCCTTCCTTCCCTCCTTCCTTCTTTTTTTTTTCGAGACAGAATATTGCTCTGTTGCCCAGGCTGGAGTGCAGTGGCGCAATCTCTGCTTACTACAACCTCTGCCTCTCTGGTTCAATAAAAGCTATTCTAACAGGTATGAGGTAATATCTCATTGTGGTCTTAATTTGCATTTCTCTAATGATTAGTGATACTAATCATTTTTTTCATGTACTTATTGGCCATTTGTATAACTTCCTTTGAAAAATGTCTGTTCAGACCCTGTGGCAGTATTAAAATCAGGCTATTTGTTTTATTGCTGTATTAGGTCAATCTTGCATTGCTATAAAGAAATACCTGAGACGGGGTAATTTATAAAGAACATAAGCTTAATTGGCTCTTTGTTCTTCAGGCCGTATAGGAAGTGTCATGCCAGCACCTGCTCAGCTTCTGGGGAGGCCTCAAGGAGTTTTTACTCATTGCAAAAGGCAAAGTGGAAGCAGACTCATCACTTAGCAAAAGCAGTAGCAAGAGGGGTGGGGTGAGGTGCCACACACTTTAAAACAAACAGATCTTGTGAAAATTCACTATTGTGAGGATAGCACCAAGCCTTAGAGATCCACTTCCATGATCCAAACACCACCCACCTGGCCCCACCTCTAACATGGGGTTTACATTTCAACATGAGATTTGGATAATAACATGGTTTGGCTGTGCCCCCCTCAACATTTCAACTTGAATTGTATCTTCCAGAATTCCCACGTGTTGTGGGAGGGACTGAGGGGGAGGTAACTGAATCATGGGGGCCGGTTTTTCGCATGCTATTTTTGTTATTATGAGATCTGATGGGTTTATCAGGGGTTTCTGTTTTTGTTCCTCCTAATTTTCTCTTGTGGCCACTTGCCTTTCACCTCCTGCCATAATTCCCTCCCCAGCCATGAGAAACTGTAAGTCCAATTAAACTTCTTTTTCCTCCTAGTCTCAGGTATGTCTTTATCAGCATCATAAAAATGGACTAACACGTGGGACAAATATTCAAACTGTATCATTCTGCTCCTGGTCCCTTAAATCTGTGTCCTTCTCTTACTGGAAAATATAATTATACCTTCCCAGTAGTTCTCCAGTAATACTTAACTCATTCCAGAATTAACTCAAAAGTCCCGAGTCCAGGTTCAAAGTCTCATGTGAGACTCATTTCCTTCCACCTATGAGCCTGAGAAATCAAAACAAATTATTTACTTCCAAGATACAATGGGGATACAGGAATTGGGTAAACATTCCTATTCCAAAAGGGAGAAATCAGCCAAGAGAGGGGCTACAGGCCTCAAGCAACTCTGAAACCCAGCAGGGCAGCCATTAAATTGTAAAGCTCCAAAATAATCTCCTTTGACACCATGTCCCATGTCCCATGTCCCATGTCCAGGGCACACTAGTGCAAGGGGTGGGAGCTACAAAAGTAGAGCTCATGGAGATAGAGAGTTGAATGGTGGTTACCAGAATCTGGGAAGAGAAGAGGAGGAAGATGAAGGGAAGTTTGTTAATGACTATACAAATACAGTTGGGTATTTTGCAGGGACATCGATGAAACTGTAAACCATCATTCTCAGCAAACTGACACAAGAACAGAAACCAAACACCGCATGGTCTCACTCATAAGTGGGTGTTGAACAATGAGAACACACAGACATAGGGAGGAGAACGTTACACACTGGGGCCTGTGGGGTGGGGGGCTAGGTGAGGAATAGTAGTGGGGGAGGATTGGGGAGGGATAGCATTAGGATAAATATCTACTACAGATGGCAGGGGGTGGATATAATAAACTACCGCCATGGCACGTGTATACCTATGTAACAAACCTGCACGTTCTGCACATGAACCCAGAACTTAAAGTATAATTTAAAAAAAATACAGTTGGGTAGAAGAAATGGGTTCTAAAAATCACTAGTGTAGTTGAGAAATTATAGCTATCAATAACTTATTGTATATCTTAAAAATAATAGCTAGAAGACAAGAATTAAAATGTTCCAAACACAAGGAAAAGATAAATATTTGAGGCAATAGATGTCCCGATTCTGCTGATTTGATCATTATACATTGTATACATCTATCATAATACTACATATACCCTCAAAATATGCACAAATATAATATATCAATTTTTTTCCAAAAACAATTATCTAAGATCCTAAGGATTTGCTGCTATGTTTTTTGCTGAGGGTTTTGTAGTTTTTGCTCTTACATTTTGGTGCCTGATCCATTTGGAGCTAATTTTTGTGAATGATATTAGATAGGATCAAACTTCATTCTTTTGCATGAGGATGTCCAGTTATTTCAGCACCATTTATAGAAAAGACTGCTTTTTCTACATTGAATTGACTTAATATATAAAATTTTGATTATGTAATCACTTTTAAGTTTCAAGAACTCTGTTTTTCATTTCAGAATATTTCTATTTGGTAATATTCTGGGTTTTTTGGTTGTTGTTGTTTTTCTCTTATTTCTCTGAGGCTATATATATATGTGTGTATTTTAATATGACTGTCTCTGCAGAAACTTTGTTGCCCTTTAAAAAATCTCCCTCCTCTACTCTTTTTGGTCACATCTCCCATGTTACAGTATTTCTTCAGCTATCTGATAATCCCTGGTTTCTGGCTCTTGATTAATATTGGTGTCCTTTTTGGAGGGGCTTGTGAGTATTGAGCTCAATTGTAGGGTAATCTGAGTGGGCTTTTTTGGTGAAATGCTGATGCCAGTATATGTAAGTCTTTTTTCTTGGGTTGGCCAGGTTCTGCAGTGAATAGTCCTCCATTCTCTTTCCAGGAGGGTGAAGGTCTGGCTGCCAGTATTCTGGAAGCTTTGTGGAGGAAGAAGTTAGGGGGCCTCATTATTAAATCTCTAGTATGATTATTGTTACTTAAGTCTCCTGTGTGAGGTCTGGTACCACACATTCAACTATGCCCAGTCAATCTCCAGTCCAAGGACTTTACCTGTTACCCTCTTCCAGAGAGTAAATCCCCAATTTTCTTTCTGAGAGGTGATGGGTCAATTTTCCAGCAACAAGACTGGGGAGGAGATCTATGGTTCTAAATATTTATAAGCAACTTGTATAAAAATATTTGTACAAGTATAAACCTATGCACATATAGTATTGTACATATATTAACCTTACACATACTGTTTTGCTCTTGGTACAGTGTAACTTTGTACATATAGTTTTGCACTTGTACAAATAACATTGCAATATTATTTATAATTAAAATACACTGGGCACTATCTAGACTTCTAGCAATAAGACATATACACATTCCATACAATAAGATATAGTATGAAAAGATTAGGTAGAATGTATGTTAATATGGAAAAATATTCATAAAATTTTGCTAATATAAAAAAATTGGAATAACATGCTCCAATTTATGTACAACTATAAATATGTACATATATTCATATTATTTGCATGAATAGAGAAGAGCCTGAAATAATATACACCAATATGTTAATGATAGTTGGCTATATGACAGAATTTGAGGTTAGTATGGTTTTGTCCCCTTTATTTTTAGCTGTATTTCATACTATTCTACAAGACAGATCCCTTACAAACAAAGAAATGTTACTGTTATAAAGTGTAATTCTCAGTTCACAGGTGTGAGCTCCTTTCTTAAGCAGGAGCTATCATTTCTGAACTGTGTATTCTAAGTAATCAGAACAGAGCCTGCACCTAAGAACTCAGCAAATGTGTGTAGAAAGAATTCATTCCATTTGCTTTCTTCCATGTTAATGATTTCTTCTACATTCAGTGAAACCTACTGACCTTGATGTTCCTGTTTTCATTTGTTCTCCTCAGTGTGAATGCTAAGGGAATGTGTGAATTTAATGTGTTACAGTAGTCTGATGGAACTTTCGCTCTTGTTACCCAGGCTGGAGTGCAATGGCGTGATCTCGGCTCACCGCATCCTCCGCCGCCTGGGTTCAGGCAATTCTCCTGCCTTAGCCTCCTGAGTAGCTGGGATTACAGGCACGCGCCACCGTGCCCAGCTAATTTTTGTAATTTTTTAGTAGAGATGGGGTTTCACCATGTTGACCAGGATGGTCTCGATCTCTTGACCTCGTGATCTACCCGCCTCAGCCTCCCAAAGTGCTGGGATTACAGGCTTGAGCCACCAAACTCGGCCCCTGATGGAACTTTTGACAAAATTGAATAACATTTTCAAAAGTTATAAAAATGTGCTAAACTTATAAATAAGACTGTTTAAATGACTTTTGATTTAAAATTGAAAAGCTATCAACTCTGAATTACTGTCTGGAGGGCCATCTGAACAAATTGCTGCCTCCTACCCCACATGAAAAGAAGTGATAGAATCACTTTATAATAAGTCCATCGGCAGACATAGAGTGGAGGCAAGAAGACAGGACGGCTTGCTGATTTTGGAAAGTTTTCCAAACATTTAATTCAGTGGTTCTGCTTCACGGGAACCACTGGAGGAAACAGTGGGAGTTGTGTTTGATAAATCACTTAAAAAATTCTGTGGCGTACCTTTAAGGTATACAACACGATTTCATAAGATACATGGATAGTAAAAAAATATATGGAGCATTCACAAATTTGCATGTCATTCTTAAACATGGGCATGCTGATCTTCTCTGCATTGTTCCAATTTTAGAATATGTGTTGACAATGCAAGCACTAAATCATTTTTATTTATTTATTTCCTACTAGTTAGAAGACCTCATAGGGAGAAGTGAGGAAGAGGAGAAGAAGAGCTCTGATAGGTCCTTTGTTGGCTCAGCACTTGAGCTGCTCTTGAATAGGCTACAGGCTGCCCTTGAAACTCAAGGATAAGAAGTACTCTACCTTTCTAGATTATCCTATGTAACAATCAGAGTCCAGCCAGAAAAATAAGTCACTCTAGGTCTCTCAGTAGATGAAACTTAGTTCTGGAAACAGATTTCAAAGATGATGGAGAGGGAGTTTAGGGACCAGACATAGGGCTGTCGGTTGGGAACCAGAACTGGAGAAGGAAAGACAATCTGAAAGGAGGTGCAGCTTCTGGAGACATCGAAGGAGATAGAGAGAGGAGAAAATTCCCTTGTCATGCCCTTCTTTGTGCCCTCCATCTTCCAACTGTGCTTCCCATATGCTGAAGCCAGAGGGCAAAAGAGCCTAGAAGAGTCTTTCCCTGAGATGGAGAGCAGAGCATGGCAAGACAGGTAAGAGCCCAAACTGGCAGGACAGGCACATTGAGTACATTTTATGAAGTTGAGATTGTGTGAATTAACTTATCACCTCTGCACCTCTGACATGTTCTTACATGCCCACATGCACTCACTAGTGTTTTCAGTGTGCATGTGTACCTGTGTTTGTGTATGCCTATCTCTGAGATCTTGGTTGGGCTAATGTCCTACTTATGAGAAAAGTGCAAGTGCTCATTCTAAGATTGTATATAAAGTGACAGCTAACACTCCTGCTTTCAATTGGCACTTAGCATTTACATAATGCTTAAACATCTGGTCTTTCCCATCAACCCAGGCATGAAGTTAGTCCAGTTGATTGCTTGGCATTATGTACAGACAACAGCTGTCTGGTTAACTGGAGTTTTGATTATGGCCGAATTGGCTGGATGTTTGGTGTCACGTAGAATGTTGTTATGACTGGCTAATGATGGAATAGAGTCAGTTACAGGGAAGACCAATGACGAATTTGTGAAATCAAACTTTTGTATGGGTTTTCACCAGAAAAGATAATTATTTGTTTCCAAGCCTGAGTTTCAGAAACTCACTGGAATTTCACTGAAAAACATATTTGTTTCCAAGATTGAGTTTCAGAAACACCGAGACCTGGCTGAGTTTATTTCTGGTGTCCTTTCATTCCCATTTCATCTCCTTGCAACCATGTGTCTCCTGCCCATGTACCCAATGTCCTCTGGTGCCCTTGACCATTCACCCTTAAGGCATCTGGCTCCTGGGCTCATCAGCCTGGAAACAATCTCCAGATTCTGAATTTTTTAGCCTTTATGTCTTTTTCCCCTTTGTCACTTTCATCAAATCGCATCTGTACTGTCATTCAGAGATCTGCTCTCTGTTGCAGGATCGACTGATCTGAGAATCTAATTTTCATGAAGATGCTTATAGATGATACTGTGCTAATATTTATCTTTTCATCTTTCCATATGTGGAAGTCGTCTCTACTGAGACTGAAATTCAGCCATACTTGGCACATTTTTATCTGTGCTTGCTGGAAGCACGTTTGCACAAACACTGAGGAATGTCCTGGGAGAAGGAGCTAGGTTAGATAAGCTCTCAGCAGAGGGCCTTGCCTGCCAGGGGAGCCGAGCCAGCATGTGCCATGGTTTCAGTCACCTAGAGCTGTCTCCCAGACCTAATGGAACATATCTGAGTTTTGTGGAGAACAGAGGAACTCTACAATTTTAAGGGAAGTTAGGAGTAAGAAGAGAGAGAAAGAACTCTGAAAGGTAAGTTCTGGGACTTAAGTGACCGTGCTTGAGAATCTCTCCAAAGCAAAATGGAAGTGAGATTTCTTTCTTGTGACACAGTTCTTGCATACATTTGATTTCTGGAGAGGCCTATGAGGAACTGCGGTACTTGCAGGAATAATGGTTGAGCCCAGCTAAGGTCATCACAGGAGCCAGCAGGAACAGGATTATTTAGGAGCCTGCTCAGACTCAAAAATATTGGAAAAATGTTTTTGAAGGGGTCAGAGGAGTAGTGGGGTGGGGAAGGCTGAGGGCCTGAGGCCCTGTCAACACAATGGTTATACAAACTAGAAGCATTTAAATTATTCCATTAAATAAAACTTCATTTTAACCCACATTTTTAAGGTCTAAGGAAATTCAGATTGTACCTGTAACATATTTGCCTATTACCAGAACCTTTGAATGTTTTGTGTCCAATACATGATTGATGGTGGCAATTTCAGATCATACCAATGGTAAATTGGTGAAGGAAAATACTTTTAGGCAATCATTTAAGTATTCTTCAAATAATACTTCACAAATTTGCTTCTTAGCCTCCTGGTTTTGTTAGCTTAAGACATGAGAACTTGAAATGTTGCTATATGATTATTGACAGAGACTTGGCTGCTACTGGGGAGGAGAGTATGAAATCCAAACACATTTTTGAAATCTAAGCAGATCTTTATTAGCTCATAACTAGCAATACTACAATGGAAATTATTTTAGTTTATACAAATAATTAAGGTAAAACTTCAGTTTTAATGATGGGTTTGCTGATTGGTCTTACTATATTAATTCATTTAATAGACATTTGCTTGGTGTCTATTATGTATCAGACACTTTGCTGGGCTCAGGGTAAACTGGCAAATTCAGCAGATTTAAAATCTAATATAGGTAAATCAGGCTTAACTTCTTTTGTTATCTAGCTAAGATACCAACCAAAAAGATTAAGATATCAAAATGACAAATTTCCCCTAAGAAAGAGTATGCTTTATATCATCAGAAAGTATGTTACCTGTCCCAAGGTCTGGACATATGAATACATATCAGTGTTGAATGTGCTTGTATGCTTGTGTGTGTGTGTGTGTGTGTGTGTGTGTGTGTGTGCATGTGTGTGCGTGTACTATAACTTGTGTTTGTATCACCAGAACCTTGTATGGTTAAAGAAAGATTACAGAAATTCAAACATCAAACATATAGGTTTCCTCTGTAGAAAAGAATTCCAGCTTTTATTGAAATCACCAAAATTGCAGTCAGCTGCTGGGAAAAAAATAAAGGCAAAGATCCTGTTTACAAGGCACCTAGAGTTCAGCCGTCAGATGGTTTTGGTTAAGATGTAGTTTCTCTTCAGGCTGATGTTTCTATAAGACATTTTTGTGAGTCAGTCATCACCCAACTTTCTAGTGTCTTTCTTTTCCTTGTGTTTGTTTTCTTACAATACCTTTATAATGCTGCTTTTAATTTTTGACAATCTTTACAGAAAACGAATCCCTTTGCAGCTTTTATGCAATTTGTAGAATTGCATGCTATTATAGGCAAAATTCTGATGTGTGTGTGTGTGTGTGTGTGTGTGTGTGTGTGTGGTCAGAAGAGTGGGGTTTCCTGTGGTTTCTCTGTGTCTCTTTCTGTCCATCTTTAACTTCCACTGGCAATACTTTGGTATTAAATCTTTACCCCACTAAGTTGTTCAGTGTTTACCCCACCTCTCTACCTTGTCTCTGCTTTCCTGGAATGAAAGTACATTAGAAGGTTTACCGGATGTAACTACCCCACCATGCCTAGAATAACTAGGTGATAAACCATCTCATGCCAAGCTAATATTCTTCACTAATGGGAAGTTTGCTACAGGTAGTAGGGTGTGCCCCACTACACCAAAGGTGAGGAAGTTAAGCTATCTATTTGCAAAAGGGTCACAACTTTCCCACATATGTGTGCCAAGATTTGAAGACAGGCAATCAGTCTTGATGAGCTGCTCTACATTCTTGATGCCTCCACTACTAAAGCATTCATTGAAAATTTTTTTGATTGACTGCTCCCACTATGACAGTATTTGATTCCTCACTGGGTTTGGGTTTCAACCTATTGTCCTCATTGTCTGAAAATGGGAACCCCCTACGTGCTCATCACCATAAAAGGAACCCAGTAGACACAACTGTGAATTATGTTTTGCACATTTTCTAAGAAATGGTAAAGCCACTTAAAATATTTAGATTCATTTATGTTTTAGATGTAGAAAAAAATTTCTCTATGTGACTCCAATTACGTGTCCACTACATATGTATTTGTTTGTAACCACTGCTTCTGAAATGGAAATTGATCATTTTGGATCATAGCTGAGGAAGTACTTACCCCTTTTTCAGCTGGAAAAAATATGTACCTGAATTATGGGAGAATAAAAAGAAATCTTCAGTTCACCATTCTTTTTGGATCCTTTCCTTTGATAGGCAGGGGAGAAAGGAAGAAAAAACATACACACACCAAAACCTCATGCACTATTCCCTTAAATTCTTTTCCTAGAGTCATTGACTACTAATTGAAATAAACCTATCTATTCATAAAAAAATTATATTCACCAATTTTAAAAGGCCTATTTTTTCTGTATCTCTCATTTTTCTTTAAATATGAAGAGTATTGAATAAAAAACCTGAATTTTCTTTTTTTACATAGCTTGTGAACAATTTAAAGAAAACTGTGAAAAATATTATGCTTTAGCTTGTGACTTTGTATAGAACTGAGTATTGTGTGTTCTTCAGGATGTATTGTGTAAATGCTTAGCTACAATCACAGCCTACTCTTTTGGCTCCCATTTGTGACAGCACATATTTTTGTTAGATTTGAATTAGGCAACAAATAGAATGCTAACTCTTAAGAAGTACCTTTGCTATAAGTGTTTTCTAATGTTTTTTGTAAGATATTATATTTATACAGAGCTTTATAAAACTTCCTTGTCTTTGTTGAGTCTCTACTCCCTAAAACAGGTGCCATTGTCTCCAAACTGGGAGCCAGAAAGTATTCATGACTTGTTTGGGGTCACACATTAGGTTGGTGACAGAGCCAGAACCCACACTGAAATTCTTCCTGCAATGACTGGCCACCTTGTCCAAGTATATCAGGAGTACAGCTAGAGCTTTGGCATAGCTAGAGCTTATCTGTTGTTCAAAATGCAATGTTCTCTCTTCTCTGCTTCTATATGAAGACAGGTGTCTTATCTACCT